ATTCATTTGGCGTGCTCATTGCCTGTTGTACATGTAGTGTGTGAGTGGGGCCTAGGTTGTACGTGTTGATAAGCTCTATGCTCAGTGCATCGATGTTGATTTCCGTTTCACTTCCTTTTAATCCCCTGTTATGATGAATGTTTTAGACGCTAAGCGGGATCTTGTGTTGTGTACCTATTTGGAGGGAATAATCAAGTAGTGTGTTGTGTTCTGCATTGCATTTCTACTAGAACGTGAGGTAGAATACAACAAGGCCTTGTGCCTTTGGCATGCTCCACGCCTCATAAAGCTGCTCTGATGCATTGGGTCTGTAGTTATTCTCTTAGATGCAGAAAAAACAAAGAGGGAGTAAGACTGGTTTTCATATTGCCCGATTTGTCCCACATTTTCGAACGAGGACAGCGACTGTCTTGGTCTCTCCTTAAATGTTAGTTTTCATTTGGTCTATGTGGATTCGTTGTCATGAAGGAATGCCACCTGGCTGATCCTGCCAGTTCTCTTTCTCTATGCAAAACCACATGGGCTATTGGAGGTTAGATAGTTATTGGAGGATGTATTTGGATTTCACTCGGTATTTTTATTGTTTTTTGTGTTCATGGGTCTGTAAAACGTGTAATTAGATAACATATGCTTTGGCTATAGAAGCTCTGAAGACAACTTAATTTTTTAGTTCCTCTGCTTGCGTAAGATGGTATTTGTCATGCTTGATTTAATGAACTATTGATGTTATTCTTTAAAAAAGAAATATATATTATGGTCTCACGTATGGAATCTAGTTATGGGTTTATTTGGGTTGAAGTCTTGACGTCAGTATGCAGCTTGTTTTACTGACTGACTTCCTTTTTAACCTATATTGACCTAGAGCTTCAGCCTCAATAGGGAGAACCCATCTATCTCTAGAGTTTAGGACTCCAAACCTATGTTATAATTATTTCCTCATGCGCTTAATGATGCAATCAGCACAGTACATATATAGTTAAGCCACAGTAATTGGCTTCCTAAAGTCAAGGCTAAAATCCAACTCCTAAAACAACTTCTATTAACAGTAAAAATAAAGTTCATTCCAAAATTATACGCATTTCTCATACAAAATCGCAACTACCATCATGCAGAAGCAGAAGCAGATTTCTTCTTTCTACTGTCACGGGTCCCACAAACATAAGTAAGCCATAGTGTGTCTGTCTTAAGGATTGAGTTATGAACAGTGTCAAAGGACGTAGGAATCTGATCAATTATGACTTCTGATCTTCTGTGAGTTTCTAGGGCACCCTTCAGTTCCTGTTAATAATACTTACTCTCTCAGGAAAGGAAAGGAGAAACTACATTCTATATTTAACTTTAGGGTAGACTTACCAAATATGTTTTGAGAAAAGTATTTTCAAATATGTTAACCCAAAATTACCCGCATCTTTAATTGCTACTTCAAAGTGTATCTATCTAATCTTTTCCTGATTGCAGGATTAAAATTAGAGATACACTCTAACACAAGATCAAGTACATATAAAGTTTTAACAGTAATCAACACTGCAGATCCAAAAAAAGAAATGCATACCAAGTTCTGCCAGTATTGGTACTGCTCTGTGCATGTTTCATGCCTCCAAACCTCAAGATTAAAGATCTCCATCCCATAAGTTCATTCACAAACTGTGGGGTTAAACTCTCCTTTGCAAGAGAATGTAAGAGCTTCAACTCCTGCAAATAATGATGCAGTCTGTAGTTTGTTACGTGAAAATATGTTATTGAATTTAATCAATTTGTAA